GTAGAAATATTTCCTTTATGCATAAATTTATCTCGATATACCAACACTGCGGCTTATCGCGCGTGTTACAGTCGCTGGCGAAGCGGTTTTACACGGCGGAGAATTATGCGACATTCGCGATCTGCAAAATTAATTCAGAAGTTTTCCAATCTTTACTCTGGATGCCGGTAGCCGTGCCGCTGGAGTGAAATATGCGATATATGGGCGCGTTTTTGATGTAATCGCGTATTACGTTAGCGCCCGCGAGGTGCTGGGAACAGAAACGTGGCGAGTCTTTGAGTAAAATTTAGACCGAGTCGATAGAAAGTTGCTCCGTCAGCTTTGTTACTCGCAACATTATAAACAGACCACGTCCATTAGATGTTCTGCTACACACGATTGAATCTACATGATCGTAATGACTGTTTGATTATACTTTGTAACGGATACTTTGATCTAGCGTGATGCTTTTTTATGAAAGCAACATGGTTTTAAGATTGAACCATTCGAGAATCACTTTTACAATTTATCGTCATTTTTTAATTTATATGTGCAAACAAGAGAATATCGCGGATAAAATTATCGATACATGTGTTTTCCAAAGCCATGCAATTAGTCAACAATTTCAGTAAAAATGACGAATTTTATTTTCGTTTAAAAAGTTAGATGATTCATTCTGTACATTTCCTTATCTTTGCGCACAGAAGTGAAACAATAACTATACAATATGATTTATCAAAAAGATTGCAGGACCATTAAGAGGTTTCCGCACCTTCGCATTTTATCGAATGAACCTGATCAGATTGAAAGCTCTTATCGACAGTATCGATTTTTAAGAATTATGAAGCAAAAACGCGCTCAGTGAAATCGAACGCGAAGTTTATCGCGTATTGATAAATGAAAGAAGAACAAAATACATACATTTGCGATAAGCTTTATTGCACGAGCGTTTCGCAAAGTAAGCCCGCGTCGCTTGATGAAATCGAGCGTGAAACCCGACAGATAAATCCAGCAATCGTATTTTGCAATACTATGTAGTTTTCTCCTCGATTCACATTTCGCGAGTTAATTCATGAGATTTGCGGGAAAAAAATCATGCGTGCATTCACCGAAAAAATTCTATTATAATTACGGAAACGCGCGGAATTTATTATAAAGGTCGATTGTGCTGTTTACAAGAGTTATCGATTTGCAATTATCGCTATTCTGAATAAGTCTTAATCGGCATTAATCGGTGACATGAATATTTCATGAGAGAGCTGACGGATTATCAGCGCATTCACAATTAATTACCTCGCTTAATGTAACCATAGTTGTAATTATTTTTAAGGATGCATCTCTCAGTTGGAAAGCACGATTGCACAGATGTTTTTCTAGGTTTCCGGGATAAGAACGCAACGGTAAAATTTGCGCCAAAGAACTTGTACAAATATTTGAGGAATTAATACTGGTTAATTAGTAAATACTTATGAGTGATTTCCAGGCTAAGGACGCAACGGTAAAATTGGTAAAAAAATTCTTAGGATATTTGCGGAATCACTAATGAATTTATCGATCGAATTCTTATGAATTATTATAATTTCCGTTTAAAAATATGTAATCTGTTAATCATGAATTTTTGCACTAAATTATTTACAAATTGATTTACAAATTGATTTACAAATTGGCGATAAAGGATATAAATCGAAGGATGTAAATTATTCGTGGCTTTCTATGAAATATAAAAGTAATTGAAGCGCAGTAGATGTTTGAAGGGTGGTTGCAGTTATGGTTCTCGTTATCGGCAAGCTCTCGATGAACGTCGAGAGATGCATGGGCGTCGTATCGATTAGAGTTGCGCAAGTTTCGAAGTCTGTCGTAATGAGAAATCTGAATCTTTATTCGCCATTCCAAGACTTTAGCCGGGTGCGACTTTTTAGCGTCTTACATAACTTTTACGCGCCGCAATCGTGAGAGAGTGTATGCAGACACGTGGATAACGGAAATGTAATATTGCCGCGGCCCGCACCACGGTGCATTCCGATATTACGTAATTGTGGTTGCGCACGATGATCAAATGTCGAGTTTGCGGCGATGTAACTACCCCTTTCTCGCCCACCAATAACTTTATGAGCAAAAAATTGACACATTATGCAAAACTGCGGCGGGCAAAGTTTTGCACTTCGAATGTGCATAATTCGTAGAAATAATGATCGGAGAAATAAATAATTGCTACAAATATGTAAAAATAAATTGATTAATTAATTATTTCGAGAATAGATAGATTGGAAGTCCGAGAGAACTTTAATGCAACACAGTTTCTTGTCGAAAAGAATTTCTTAATTTACAAATAGAATTATTCTACATTTTATGTCCATAATATATGTGTGTCACATCTTGAAATTAATTTAGATATTATTTTGCCTTTAATGCTGCAAATATTTCCCGATGTTAACGATTTGTGTGATTTATGGTCATAATGTGATTTATGAATCACAATCGCCGATGACTCTGTCGTTAATACTCATATATTTTAAAAATATACATACGTTCACCTGCATCAGAACTGCTGACGCAAAAACCAATTCGTTTGACTGACAATCGCCAATCGTATTTAACACGCTACGCTCCAATAGCTTCGCAGAAAGGCAATTTTCTGTTATCGGCGTCAGACAAAACTTTATTCAAGCACCACGTTCATTGGACTCGAACAAATTCGCGATAACTGCAACAATGAGTTTTCTTCCGCTATAATTCTATTTATAACGTTTTGCGTATTAAGCATCAAAGTTTTGTCGTGGCTTTATCTACATACATCACGACTAATTAGCACTCGGCTCTTTCCTCGAACCCATCGGACTGACGCTTTACTTTCACCGATTGCCTCGAATTGTGATTTAGCTTCAATTCGAATTGAATGGATACCCTCGTGCGCAGCGGAAAGAAGCGCGATATCCGATAACCGCGGGAACGTTTATCACGCGCGAATAAAAGCCTTTTCATTATGACTAGCGTCCGCGATTTTATCGTTCCGGTACCTTTCGGAACGAGTCGCGGAGAAAGGAAGCTTCCTTTCCCCAGAATCTAGCGACGTAATCCAAGTTAGACGCGGCGCATTGAAATACAAAAGTACTCAATAATGCAGAAATGAAAGAAGCAACGTTCATACGTTCATAGTTTCAAGTGTATTTCTTTTGCGCGATAAAAAAAATTCTCTCGATCACGGTGCGATCTCCTCATCAAAATTTTGCGAACCTATAAATGCCCGGTGAAACGGTCTAACGCCTTCAATATTGTTGTGCCTAATTATTAATTTCACGATGCTGACTTTCACCTTGTGTTTACGACGCTGTGGCACCTGTCAGAAAAACAGCGGCAACAATGGCATTAATTCGTGATCCATTTATCATCTAAAATCTAAAATTTTTTCAAAATATTAAATGAACACACGGTAAATATGTTTTTGTTTAAGCACTTGTTTTTTCACGAAGCGCAAAAACATTTTTAAACAGAATTCAGTGATATTGAGACGTAAAATATTATTCATTTACTGACATTTGCATAAAGTGTATTTGTTGAAAACGAATAGTTTCTTCTTATGTAAAATATACTAGAAGTAAATATATTTTGAAAGTAAAATTTTGGCTTCTCTCGCAAAACGGATTAAAGAAGAAAAATTGACGTTTCTGTAACATTGTTTAAAAAAAGAACATATTTTAATCATTTTTCATCTGCCGTTTTTTGCAGTAATAAAACACAGTGTTAAAGCAATAATTTTATGTAATAATTTTGCATATTTTCCCTGATTACATAACCGTGTAAACAAATGTATAGCCGGGTTTGTACCGTTTATAAGTACCGTTTGTGATAACGTACAACAAATACACGAGAAAGCTAAGCAAACGCATAACAGCAATGGGGCGAACGACTGGATGAGTGGATAATGGCATGCATTGGCCGTCCACTGTGACTAAAACGTTTACGTGCTGTAGTAGAAAAATATAAGCAAGTACGATCATAAATAGCGAGCCATATCTCCCGTTATACATACAACATACTCGATACTATCGCGTTTCATTATAATTATGTTTTCTCTTTCTACATCGCTCGCTATTATCTCTTAAGCGTCTTTCAATCTCAATTTTAAATCATCTTAATTTTTTTATTACGCACATTTTAATTAAAAAGATATTGTTTGTTTCTTTTAACTTTTCTTCGGAAAAAGTCGCAACAAAATTCCGCTTTTCTGACGGTAAATATTCAAGCGTTCCAAAGGTAATTTCGGCATCAACAAATTATGCCCGTTTGCTGAATTATATTTTCATACAAATGTGAAAAATGCGCGAGGCCGGGAACGCGACTCGCTTTAGCTTCGTACGTCGAACGCACGAAAGTAGTGATCATATAATTCAGTGCGAGACAGTAGTAATGTTGCATCTGATGAGCTGTGATGCGTGGTTACCGCTATTTCGTGCGTTTCCCTCGAGGGCCGAGTGTATCCGAGCGTAGAGCAACCGAACGGACCATCGATTTTTGTCTCTTGAAGGTGAAACGGCTTGACCATTTCTTTTCGAGACGTTATCCGAACGTGTTTAAACGTCCACGAGAGACTTTGATGAGTTGTAATACATTTTTTATCTCATTACGATCGTTATCGCGACTTTATAATTCATTGCTATTACGTATGAGACTCAGCGCGATACAAATTAATATTTGTAACTCTGCACTTTATGATTCTTTTATCGAATTCACAAATAGCACTTTGGATTTTATTATACGCAATAAGATTTCTCCTCTTGAATTTTGACACGACATAGCTTTCCAGCTATTTAGCGACGTTGTAAAGCGCTTTTGTCACAGCATCGCGAACATAGAACATAGAAGTGGAATATCTACCTTCGCTTCTAACAGTCATCCTCGCACGTTTATTGTCATGAGAGAAAATCAGAAGAATCGCGAAGTGGGACGTTTTGAATATACACTCTTGTTTCACACACACACATTTGTGCCACATCTTAACTTTTTTTCTTTTTCATGCGCAGGGAGGACCAGGCGGCTTCGAAGATGTGCGAAGATACATCAAGCAGGGCGGCGACTTCTGCAAGGATTTGGCGTCGATTCTTCACGAAAGGTATTTATCGTCGAACATTGATTTTTCCAAATATAAGAAAATTACGAAAGTATTAATTTCAGAGCCGAACTGGAGGCCACTTACGCGAAGGGACTCAGCAAACTCAGCAGCAAGCTGACGAAAGCCTGCGCCAAAGATCAAGGTGATTGTCATTGCGTTGCATTGGTAGGATTTTTTTTTTTTTTAACAAAGACTATAGTCTTTTTCTTCGGCCAGAATTTTCACGATTGTTCAACACGCGTGGCTTCTAAATATTTAACTTTCTTTGATTGAAAAAATTTTGAAAGTTTTTAGTTTACATATTTATAGATTTATCACGAAAGTATACCTACACCGCGCGATTCACTAAGCAGAGAAAGCGAAGAGACGGCCATTATTTCCATTTATAGATTGTAAGATAAGAAACTTTGCCTCCACGAGGCCAATTCGTTCTTTTGCTTGATCGCGCTATTATTGCGTCCCGAGCGCTTCGAGTATCGACGAGATCGGCGCTCGCGTGATGGGCGGCGCCCGCAGTCTTAAGATTATCTCTCCTCTAAGTGCGGATCACTGTATGCATTTCGTAATGTAGGTGGTAATGGTACCGGAGGTGTGAACGAGGCGTGGAGGAGCGTCGGCGAGGAGATGGAGGCTGCCGCGGAAGCCCACCGGCTATGGGGCATCGCGCTGAGCGAGCAACTCGCCAAACCGCTCAGAGTAAGTCTCCGGAATAATTACCTCCGAGATAATTACGCGTCAAAGCGGGACTCTGTGAGGGGGGAAGAGCACGATCGCGTTTTATATAACACCGTATAAGATTTTAGACATTTGTAAAATTGAATTGGTATTAAAATTTAACACGATTTATTGCTCCTGGCGTCATAACTCAATATAATTGCAGCTGGGAATTTTGAAATAGAAGATATTGGAAGATTAATTAATGTGAACAATTTTTGAAATTTTTATTTCGCCTAATTGCAAATGTCAAGCTAATAATTTGTGTCATTTTCTTCATACGCGAATGCATTTTAAACCGACTTTCTCTTTGTGAAAACTTTAACCCGAAGACAATTGCTCAACGTCGAATATTACGATGTACATTGCAGAGACATTAATTGAATGATCTCGCGATGTCAATCTCAACAAAGAAAAAGATGATATGTGTTTCTTGTGCAGGTGGGCGTAGCGGAGACGCAGGGCCGGTCGAGGAAAGGCATCGAGAACTCGGTGGACAAGGCGTCCAAGTCGCTGCTAGAGTGGCGTGGGATCGCCGCGAAGAGCAAGAAGCAGAGCTTCGCGTCCGCGCGCGAGAACGAACGACTGCAGGACTTGTCGCGGCTGCAGACCATCAGTCAGAGTCAGCAGGCCAACAACAAGTCCTCGAATCATCACATGACGGAGAAGGAGGCGAGCAAGCTGGAAACGAGACGGCGGAAGGCCGAGGACTCGTCACGCCGCGCCGACACGGAATTCTACACGGTGAGCGTGCGAGCCGAGCGGGCCAGGCTGGAGTACGAGAACACGGTAAGAAAAGGTGCGAAGCAGATGGAGTTACTCGAAGAGGAGCGGCTGAGCGCCCTGAAAGACCTCGCCAACGTGTACTTGACGCATTTGCAGGCGCTCGCGCCACGACTGCAGCAGGTAAAAGCTCAAAGTTCGCGGAAGATCTCTCTCGACTGTGATAATCAGAATTGAATGTAACATTTTGCAAATATTGTTTTCAGAGCGCCGATCGCTTGCTGACGCCCGTGCGCAGCTGCAACGTGTCGCAGGACCTCGAAGTGCTGAAGAACCTCGTGCGCCGACTGGACAGTAACGATGCGACGAACGCGGAGCAATTACTGCCGGACTTCTACGCTGAGCACGTGACGCTGGCGATGAACCGCGAGCGGCGGAAGCAGGCGTTGGTGAGGGTGTTGCATTTGATCAGGCAGGACCTGGATCGAGAAAGGCGGGGTAGAGAGGGTCTCGAAACGTTGCATCGAGCCTTTATCAAGACACCGGCATTCGCGGCGGATGAGAGCGCGCAGAATGTGACGGATAAGTTGCATCATGTACGTTTCTCTTGGCGTTTGCTACGAATTTAACGCAATCAGAAACTGTTTACGTCAACTGCGTGTACGAGCGTAACGTGAATAATTATATTGCAGATGCGGTCAATGTTGCTGTACTTGGAGGCGGCCAGATACAAGGTTGGCGGGACGCTCGCGGAAGTGGAGGGCAGCAAGCGAATCAAGCATCCTTTGTCGGAACATATTTTAGTCTCGAGAGATAAGCAGGGTTTGCAGCAAAGTGTTCTTAAGGTATTTTAACTTAATTATTTTAGTTTGCACTGATATTTTTCTTATTTTTTAGAATTTTGTTATTATTATCTTATTGAACGGCGATTTGTATTAAATATAATTTGGCTCAGTATCTGTAGTAATATTCTCTATTTTTCAGCTTTATTTTAATATAAAATTGATATTGAAAATTGAACATATAATGTGCAAAATAGGGAAGAATCACGAGAAACGATGAATGTCTTGTTTCTTGCAGATTCCTTCTTGGGCAAAGAACGAATCCTTTGAGATTCAGGACAATGACGATGAGCTTGAGATACATCTGACGAAAGAGCAGGACACCGAGACGCGCGATTGGGTCGATCGAACGGCCGGTGATGGCAACTCGGAAAATCCACCGGACGAGGACGATTTCAGTGATTTTGACGAGTTCAGCAGTCACTCGGAGGACAACAACAATCAGGAGGTCGACGGTGCGGAAGTGGTGACGACTAAGGGTGAGCGGGCGGAACAGTGTCGAGCGATCTATCAATACTCCGCGAATCTGAACGACGAGCTCAGTCTCAGTCCGGGAGACCTGATAACCGTCCATCAGAAGCAGGCGGATGGCTGGTGGATAGGCGAGTGCAGAGGTCGCACTGGCATATTCCCCGCCACTTACGTTCAAGTTATCCATTAGTAAACATGAACAATTTCGTATCATCGAATATGCTTCATCCGCACGTTACGCATTTACGAATTCCGACGTGATGTGTGACGGCGTAGTTCTCTTACAGTAGCTTCTACCTGCAATCCAAGTAAGAGTATTTATAATGTGCCAATAATCTTACACGCGACTATTACTTCACACGCACAAATCCTACGTATGTCAATCGTAAGCTGAAAACGACTCGAGAATTAATACCAAATAGTAGTTACCATCATATTCGAGACAGTCAGTGTCCGCGCTGAAAAAATATCTTCATCGTTGCTGTTTGCATTATATAACATTTATATCATCTTTACTGCTGCAACAATCAGCGCTCGTTAATTAATACCACTCTGAAAGATCGATTCATCGTTGTCGAGTATTTTTCTTAAATCTAATACTGCATTTAATTTTATTGCGCGTATTATCTATTCTTGTTAGGAAACAACTGGAAAAATACTGTGCGGAAAACGAAAAAAAAAAAGAAAAAAAGAAGAACACTGAAAAAGGAATCATTTAACGATTTAAACGATGATACAAAGAATTGAAGTTGCAAAATTATGCTGATAGTAGTCTTTTTTTATTATGCCATACTTATCTTCTATCATGGAAGAAAAGTCATATTTTATCTATACACCATTTTATTTTTTAGAATTCGAGCAAATTCCATTTTCTGTTGTATGCATATCGCATATCATTTTATTGAAACCCAGGTTATCATGTTTTTTTTCTCTTCTTTTTTTAATTTATAGAACATTTGATCATGTGCACATCATGCACGAATATAATCAGTGCTGGGAAACATCGAAACAACTGTGTCGTGTTCATGCAAAGGGATAAAACGCGCGTGCAAACAACTATAAGAAAATGTATATAATATATATTAGTACTTTGCATTGAGAATTGTAAATATTTAAATGTAAGTAATTATTTAAATTTATCGTGCGATAATATTGATAATACATTTATTTGCAGATATAACAAGTCTATGAATGATTGTCCGATAAATCCTTTATCTCGTATTGATAATCTTGATTCAATTGCTCTTTTATCTCTGCTACGATGTTAGAGTTGTGGTCTGTAAAAAGCGATGCTGCAATAGTATCACGAAACAGCGTTATTTTTCAGCATGAGTAATATTTACCGCAAAACGGAGCGCTGTTGGAAGTAGTCACGAAGAAGGTCCCACGATCATCATACGTTTCCGCTCTGATACCCATCTCCGTACAAATATTCCTGTCGCATGGTTCCGAGATCACGCGCAAAAAGTCTTTATACGTCACATTCGAATGGTGCGCCCAGAAGCTGCAGTTTTTCGCAACGGCGGACACCAAAGATTCCGTGAAGTAGACGTAAGAACGCCCGTGGCTACATATAGCTTCGTTTATTACTAGAAGTGCAATAATTAAGTATACTTCTATTACTTAGATGAGTTAATTTTAGCATTACTAACCGGTTTTCGGAATGTGCAAAATCTCAAGGAATGAAAAAATCGATGATTCCGTGTCCACGCAGCCAGGTTGCACTTTACCGCCGTTTGGATAAAAGTCAGCGTTACCTGTAAGAGACGCCGATTGAAGAAACTAAATGTAAGCAGCTTTTCTCAAGAATCACGAATTTGAGCTGAGAAACGAAAAGCGCAACAGATCAAAACCCGTATATATTTCGCTTCATCGAATGAACTACCAATAGCGTTAGGCAAGCCGAGGCCCAGATGCATGAGAAATTTGCCGTTTGTATGTATCACGTCAACGAATGGCGCATCATCTTTATCCAGATGAAAAGAACTATCGATATTGCGAAAGCACGGCTGCGCCGGATCCAATCCGGTGATTCTCTGCACGGTCCAGCTGTTATGCATCTTTTTCAAATTCTTCGCAGCGAATCCGCAAATGTGAGCGCCAAGACTGTGCCCTATCAGATGTAACGGGCCCCATTTACTCGTATCCGGCTCCTTATCGATTGTGGCGTTCGTTAAGTGTTCTATCAATCTTTGCGAAAGAGTTCATATTAGAAAGTGAATAGACTGCTAATCAATATAATGCAATCCCTCGCGAAAAACGTCTGCAAGATATATCACGCGAAGACGCATCTAGAGATTTTTAAGTATTACGAAGATAATTTTAATTATCAAGATATTATTCATGCGTTTTTGGAACATTTTTCAGACGTCTTTCGAACTTGCGCATTACACTGTCATATCGTACGTACTTTGAGATTTGGTATCCTACTATCTCGGTATTGACCGCTGCTTTAAAATAATTCCATGTATTACTACCGTCACTCCAATCTACTACCACCACATTAACATCATCCTATACCAAATTTCAGAAAGAATTAACAACTGCCCGGAGGAATGAGATGATAAAAGCCAAGACTTACCCAATCGAGAAACGCCTGCTCCATATTTCTAATCCACGTCTCCTGGCCATGCGATAAGAAACCATGTACTATGACTACCGTCCTGCGTTCCATCTTAAAATCCGTCCACTCTAAACCGAACTGCTCGCCAAGCACCACCTGCACACGTCGCGATTGATTTCGCGAGGACAAGAAAAATTGCACGTCCAGTGCATTAGAGCCATTAGCCTTGTCCTGGAAGAAGAATTTCAGAGTCTTCGCAACCGTTTCTCCCAGGCCTAAACAATCCACCTGATAGGACAGGGATGACGTATTCTGCAACCCATCGCTGAAACTGTTAATCGTATACGTGAAATTCGCCAGAGAAGTTTCGTTAAAGAACGGCAGAGCTTCCGCAACGGATGCAGTTTTATTCAGTGTAGATTGCAGAGTCTCATTTATAGTCGGTACGGGCAGAGTTTCCGCAACGGATGCAGTTTTGTTCAGCGTAGATTGCAGAGTCTCATTTATAGTCGGTATCGGCAGATTTAGCAGGTAAGAATATTTTCCGTTGAAGATTTGAATCAGAATGGCGAATATGAGAAACTTGGCCATCTTTTCTTCAGACTAACGCACGTTGGCTTTTAACACTGTATTTATACGACAGAAAAAAGTAAGTTACAGATAAAGTGCATGTCCTCTGTTAGTAGATAAACTGTGACCGCTCGCGATTAAGCGCTTAGGAATGTTAGAAAAATATTGGTATTTTCCTCTTTCGTCGTAGAGGGGATAATACAAAAACAATGATGTGAGAAGCTGATAAGCTTACTCACTAAGTAAAAAAAAAACAATAAATATGCATTTATTACGAAGATATCACATCGAGAGTCCGTGAAAATATTCCAAACACATCAAACTAATTATTGTGTTTTTTAATTCTTTTGCAATGAGTAACGTTAATAAGAATGCCCCATCTGTGCAAAGTCAGTATTTTTGTTTTTTATACTAAAATCGCAAAAATTGTGTTCAATTGCTAATATAAATTTCAGAAATTGTTGAGACTTTTCGATCTTCGATATAAAATAATATAAACGATCTCTGACAATTTGCACTGGACGAGAAACGATACATATGTCTTAAAATTGTGCAGTAGACCATCCAAGAAACATAGATATTATGCACAATATTTTTAATATAGATATGAGTAGGTGGATACAATCATAAATTTTCAAAAAATTTATTTTTATATAGAACTCATATAAACGCGTAACAATTATATTTACAGATGTATTTATACAGATATACAATCTGTATTAAGGAAGGAAATGGGTAACTTCATAGGCATTTATAGACAAGAACAGTGTTTTTCAATGTGCTCAGTTTTTTGTCAGCGTTAACGTAGCAAAATTTCGCTTGAAACTCGTAAGGTAAAAATCAATATTCAATTTTAGCCTAACTAAACACTAGGATGCATAACTTATATATTAAGTTTCTGTTTCTTCCGGTTTCTATGGCGCTCCTTCCTCTTTTGCTGTCATAACAGAAATGTTCATATAGAATTACACTTACTTTACACATCATATTCACACAATAAGAGATAAAATTATTACTTACTTGAAACTGAAACGCGTTACTGAATGGTTGACGCGCGCCTTGCTGCATACTGCCACCTTGGAAGCTGCTGAAGTCCACCGACTTGTAATCGAATTGTTTCGATGGTAACATACCTTGTGCCTTCAGTAGCTTCTCGTTTGCTTTCCTCTCTTTCTTTTTCTTATTTCTGTCGCCAAATTAAAAAGGACATTGTTATTAAATTGAATATATTACATGCAGTATTATTTCGTTTAATCGAGCGATTCACCTCATCGGTTTAAGTACTGCAGAGTTGTTGCTATCCTGAACTGGAGCAAAGCTCTGCTGCACGTTTCGTTCTTCGATTATTTCTACTTCTGGTCTCATCTGTTTAGATATATGTGTAATTGTAGCATCCAAAGATGACGACGGAGTAGAAAAGTTGCTATCATAGCTTTCCTCTTGACTCTTATTTCTGATATTAGATTCTCTTTTTCTTTTTCTGCCATGCATTTGACCTAAGATTAGATGTTTAGGTTTCTTTTTCTTCTTCTTCTTTGCTGATGTCACAACTTCGTTATTCGTAGTTTGTGACACTTCCTTGAAATGTTCAAGAACTCGATTTTTGCTCTCGTTTATTTCCGTCTCATCTACGAGTTCCACTTTGGCAGTCGAACAGTTTTCTTCCTCTTTTTGCTGTTTCTCTCGCTCTTTTGCTTCATAATCGGCTATCATCGGTATCACACATTTATATCTCATAAATGGACTTATAAATATAGCTTTCTTCTTATCGTTGCTGTCCTTTGTTTCTTCATCCTAAAATGCAATTTCTTATTCAACATTTTTACAAAAATTGTTTACAGACACAAGGTGGTTTTTATTTGATTTTTAAAACGTTTTCTAAATACATTCCCAAAAGTGTATTAGTAAAAGATATATTAGTATTATTACCTCTGACGCAACTGGTGTGTCGAATACCGTCACAATGTGCTTCTGGTGTTCCTTCACTTTTAACGATTGCACCGAGTCTTTCTTATCTAGAAGGCAAGGCAAGTCCGCTCTCGCTTCCATGTCGCTCGGTATATCGTGCGGCGTGTACAGCAACACTCCGGAATTCACCTCGCGATTTTGTTGCGTCGGTCTCTGCCGAACATCCTGTTCGACAACAAATTTTACGAGCGGTTGCTCTCTGGCTTTCAACACTATCTTGTGTATCTTCAGCAAGTTCTGTCGCACTAACGGCGGGATGGGATTGCAGCATGCCAGAATGCCCTGCATCTCACGCGGCAGTGTCTCGGTTATGTTGAGCAACATGTGATTCGGCAACACGTAACCGATGCTGTCGTCTTCTACTCGCGCGGTATCGTCACGCCACTTGTGCAACTCCAGAAGCGCGTACATCTGCTTGTTGTTGAACGTCTTCTGGCTCTTTCTGTACAAGTTCATGCAACTCTCCTCCGTCCAGACTGGTTTCACGTACGTCTGCTTGCAGATGTCGGTGCTTTGATCGTACACGGCCTTCAGGACGTTGCTCTTGCCGTTAGCCGCGTCAATCAATTCGTTCTTCAACATGTCCTTCACATGAAGCAGATAATGCGTGTCTTCCCTCGCGTATTTTATCAGTTCTGCTGGTAAAGGCCTTATACGCCAATCGGCTAATTGAAAGTGTTTATTAGGATCCAAGTCGCAGTACTTTTTTAATAGATAAGCCAGACTGAGATAGGGATGGTTGAGTCGTTTCGCGGCTTGATGAGTGTCGAACATGTTTACTACGTACAGCGACAAATCTTTTTGCAGCCACAAAATGTCCGAATCGGCGCCATGAAAGACCTTCAGGATTGATGGTTTCGTGAAGATCTCGTTAAGCTGATGCAATTCCGATCGCAGGGTTAAAGTGTCGATCAAATAATCGGTATCTCCCGTCGATATTTGCATCAAGCAAGTTATACCTTGAAACGTCCTGTACGAGTGATGTTCCAAATCTATGGCGATTTCTTTATAATTTTTCAGATCCTCTAGTAGAACCTGAAGATGGGCTGGTTTATCGATATATTTAAGTGTGGTGTCCTCCAATGACTTGTATGTGACCGGGATGCTCTTCTTCAATTGACACTCCGGCACTTCAAATTTGTTTAGCTCAAACTCGTAAGGATGGTTGAAGATCTCGCCCTGCTCGTTCTCTTCGACATAAAGAGCCAGTGGTTTCAGCGAGTTTGGCTTATCCTTAATTCGAGGTATCCACGGTTTAGAACTGTTGTCTATTTTATCCCTGAACATTAACTGTGGTCTCTGTACATTCTTGCCAGCCAGCAATCGTATTTTGTCAGATTTATCCGAGCTGTCAATTTTATCACGCCTTACGTTCCAACTTCCATTCAATGCCGATCTCGGCATTTGCGACACGACTAATTCAACTTTGGGATTTCGCATAATACCGCTTTCTTCGTCCATTAATATATTCTATGACATAAGAAATTTATTTAGAAATTAAACTCGTAAAAAATTTGGATTTGATATATAATTATGCACTGCTTACAGCTTGATCAAGTAGCTGATCATTCGCTTCTTCTAAAAGATCAAACTTTTCATCGATATCTCGACCTCCGATTGTGCCAGATCCTCCTGCTAATTTTATTACAGCCTGCATTGTAGACAATATTCTTCTTTTGTCTTTATTTATGGCATCGTTAAAACTTGTAAAACAAGTATAGTAGTTAAAATTGTTTCCAGCAGGCAGATTATTAGCTGCTTTGATACCGGACCTCATTGTATCATATGCTTCCTGAAATACAGTGCATTTTAAAAAATACACATACATAGTTTAACATAGAATTACGTAGAATAATGTATACTTGTTTATTGATTTTAATAAAACTTGATAAGTGTATTTTAACGCGTAATCTAAAGATATCTATTAATTAAAATGGTTGTTTGACTCAATGAAAGAAATGATAAGAAAATAGATAATAGATAAATTATTAATGTCACAATATGATTAGGAAATCTATTAAATTATTTGGCATTTCAATGAAAATGTTATTTGATAAAACAAAATGTTGTTAAATGATACAATGATTTTTGTATATAAAACAAAATTCAGAAAGCTAAAATTTTAGCTGAATATATCTAGAATTGTGTAATTGATTATTCTTGACTATTCTTTTCTTCTAACTCTAATCTACTACCTGTAATTTTTAATATAATCTAGAAATTAGATTTAAGATTGTCTTGGATTAGAGGTTAGAAAAGATTTAAATAATATAATTTTATATAGATTAAAAAATAATTTTAACATGTGCAGAACTTTACAAAAAAAAATTTATAGAATAAACTTATGGAAATATGAGACACAATTTCTCAAAATTAACATTCTTAAAGAGTCAAATGGCTTATTTAATTAATAAATCTCTGTTTCGTAATAAAATATATACTTTTATCAAATTTTATTGAAACCTGTAAAAAATGAATATTTTGCATATTGTTATTTATATTGTATAAATGTATTTTTTATGCTTTTATTTGCTAGATATTCGTGTAAATGATAATTTTCTGGCGAACGTATCACGTTAGCGAGCAAGCACACCTGAAGGAAAGCATCAAATGTTTCATATCCAGGAATAAGGCGAGTAATAAGTCCAGTCGACGGTCCATCTTCAACTTCCTGTTCGATATTATCGTTCGGCGTGACATTTGCCTCGCTGTCCTCATTTTTGGCAAGTTCCATGCTTACATATACTCGATTGTTTCACTCTTTTCTCGATCGCTTCTTCAATACACAGTACTCCAATTTTCGCTATTAAGGTTATGTTCAACACTGTTTTACAGAAAATTCACATTAGATCAGATGTACAGTCGGCGGTAAAAGATAGTGAAACTTTTTCTTTTGTTCTGATTGTACGAGACTTTATTAAATAGAAAGATTGCTTTGTTAGAGAAAAACAAGTCTATGAAATATGTCTTTTTAATGAATAAAAAAATGCGTAGATGATAGCAGACTATGAATCGATTATAAATACCGACGACCTATCGAAACGCACGTTCGCTAGTGATTCTATTGCTAGTGTCGCTAATGGCCAGCGGTGAACGCGGCGCCACTGTCGGTGCAATCCAAGTGTTCGCCAGTTCCCGGCATTCACGTCCAAAATTAGTAAATAAAGACGATGGCAGCGTTCGAGCTGCGCGCTATGTCGTCGTCATTGTCGTCGTCTCGCGGAGGGTGTTCGACGAAATGAAGTGGAAACGCGTCGCGGATCTCGCGATCGTCCAGGAAAGCTCGAGGAACATCGTCGCCGTGTAACCGGCAGACGACGAACTGCAGGCTCGCTCCAGTGTTGCGTATGTGCGTGTGCGTGTGGCTGTGAGAAATCGTGGTGCGGCCTCGCTCGCTGGTGAACGATACTTCCTCGAGGACTGCGAGAACGGACGGACGGACGGACAATCGGATGAAACGAGGAAGACAGCAGGAAAGAGAAGGACGGAGAGAGTGAGAGGATAATCCGCGCTCCAGAGTTCACATCGTAAGGTACGAATTCCCGCTATTTTTAGTCAGGCCCGCCGCGGCCGGTGCGAGCGTGTGTGTTACGTATGCGTGTACGTCCTCTTCTCGGCGATTCCCATTCAGAGCTTGCCGTCGTCGTCGTGGGCGAGCCGACGTCCGCATCGAATTATTATCCGTTGCAGTCGGAAAGTACGAGAGAGAGAGAGAGCGACAGAGAAAGACAGAATATGACGTTGTTACGGAGTCTAAAAAAACCCAATAATCTGCAAGTTGGGCAAAAATCGATGATAATTAGCAGAGAGAACAGCAAGGAAAATTCGTAAGTTGATCGCAATGGGAAATGCAGGAAAAAGTCAGAAGGAATGGAAAAGAAATTAGGAAAATCTTCCCGAAAACTCTTTGGTTTGTCTACGTCGATAGGGAAAGTGTCTCAGAACACTTGAATAATTATTCTATCATGATTTTATGTAAAAAATTCATTGTACTGTTACATTCAATATTATTTCTCAGATAAAAATTGTGAATAATTGGACGATATTTGAAAAGAATAAAGGAAATAGTTTGTTATTTTCCAGGAACATTGAAATAATAGGAATATTGACTGCATTGCTCAAAGTCATTTGGTCAAAGAATGTAAGAAAAGATTGAGAAAGTTAAAAATGACCAGGGAATACTGGAGAAAGTTGAGGAATTAAATTGGCACAGAATGTCGAGAAATTGGAAACAGAAGGTACAAAAATACTCGAGGAATATAAGATTTCTTCGATTGCGACACAAAATATTATCAAGGCAATTTTCATCTTTACACCCCCTCCTTTCTCTCTCTCTCTCTTCTCTCTCTCTCTCTCTCTCTCTCTCTCTCTCTCTCTCTTTCTTTCTTTCATCTTTCTCTTGCTCCAAAATTCAAACATACACTTACATTATTCTGAAAGTGTAGAAATTGCAAAAAAATACACTGATTTGTTGCATTGTTTCTTCAAAATTAATATTTAACAATTAAAAACAATAAGATGCAATACCATCACTTAGATATTGAAAAGCATGAAAGTGCTTAGAATAAGCTCAGTGCATTTTATTTATAATTATTAATTAAAGAACGCTCGATAAATGTTACAATACAATTTCTCGTTGATGCATGCATGCGTACATCCTTGCGAGAGTTCTCGATCTCTCGCTATCGTGGGCGTCCGATTACCCAACGATAAAAGAGGAACGCGTTCGCCGTCTCGCAAATACGCACACACACGTACGCGTATACACACCCACACACAGTAATAAGCTCGAAAGCGCACCGACTTTCCCGTAAACGGCTTATCGAAGGAGAGAATTTCTTCAGGACATTATTTTCGTCGGCAGGAACCTAGATACAATGTCGCAGCAAAACGGCGACCGTCTGCAAACGTATGTATGTGTACGTGTGCACGCGACACACATATACATTCATACATGCAGACACACGTTTCATTTGACCTGATTGACAGTCTCGGATTCTTTAAGTGGTCCCTCCTCTCTCGCGCACCTCGCGAAAGCCACGAGGAAGTTTTGATAGGTCTTGCAGTTTTGTCGGTGTACAGTCTCGCTGCTATTGGATCACGTGCACCGTGCGGGGTCGCTATTACAAAATTTCCGATGAGATTTTTGAATTGAACAATCAGTTTACTTATCGGTAATGTAGATATGTCAGTTTTTGATATATTTTTTCTCTGTTCTGGTTTTATTTTTTTTTTTATCTATCTTGTATGTATTTTTATTTCTCTCTCTTTCTTTCTTTCGTGAAATAATCTAACAGCTTCCAATCAGTTATCAAACTTGCTTGATGAAGGAATTATCGACTTGATTATTAAATTATTTAATCAATTTTTAGCGATAAGTATACTGCTGAGGAAGTTTTTCAGCGATTCTGCGATCCGTTGACTGTGCAACAGCTTTAAACTTTCAACAGCTACTCATCTTGGTGGAATTTCTCACTTTTCTCTCTGATTTGACTTTTAGAAAGAAAGACTTTCTACTGAGAAGCAGAACTCACAAAGAAATCTGTATCTCATAAAGAAAGAAAGTGCAATCGATATAAAAAAATACGGCCAAAACTATAAAAACTGATACGTTTACTTCACACTTACTTTAAATTGCGAAACAGTGTAAATCGAACAGATCTTCCGGTTGAAATTTAAACGATTCAAGTGGAAATGCATCTCGCAAATCCATCCGCCGTCGGCCAGTTTCGCAGCGGCCACCCGAGAGCGTACGTTTTCGAACGTACGACACCGAGAACAACGATAATAATATCAGCATGAATCACAACGGCATCGGTCGACGCGCATCATGATGTCACGGTTGTACGTACATCCTTAAACGTCACATTTCGGTGGATTGACCTTCGTTAAAGAGACAGAGCTGGAAGGAGAAGGAGAAAGGAAGAAGGAGCGCTGTGCGATTGACCGTGTTAATCGAACGATAAATCCGTAGCGTTAGTCATCCCTGACGAAGTTGATGACGGTCTTAATCGAAAGAATATAACGGCGCGCGTGAATCAGAATTCTTACACGAGGAGCTTTGACTGTACATCAATTATGATCATATTTAGTCTCATATCGTTGTAGCAAGTAGCAGTTATGATATATAAGTTGCAGTTATTATTCGGAGATTTCGGCTTCTGAATCTCGTTGCAAGAGGGACTGTCAGATTTTGTCTCACACCATGAACGAAATAAAATAGTTTACTGCATTTCACCATTCACAGTCTATAGTATAGATTGAGCAAGTGTATCAACAACTTTCTGTTCGATTGGCAGTGAACAACCGTAAATCAACTGTTGTAAGGTTCATTTTTGCAGGAAGTTTTTCGGTATATTTATCAATTTGTGCTGTCGAACGCGAGTGATGGCTTGTCAATACATTCCGCGAGGAGAAAAAATTTACACGGCTTTTCCCTTTCATAATTCGATAGGCAGTAAGGAGTCTTAAATGATCACGCGAGATTGTTTTATACGGTCAACCGGCCATGGAAAAGTGATTGGAGACGACGCACGCGATCGCCACACGCGATCGGCGAAGAAACGGGTGTCATTAGGACGTCAGTTGTCGGTGCTGCCTGCCCGCGGGTCTACGCGCCCGCTAAAAATACCGTAATGCGAGCGAGCGAGCGAGCGGGCGACCGATCGAGAGTGTATCGGGAACGGAGCGACGCACGTGCGCGCCTCGTCGTCGCGAGTAACTCGCCGCTGCCAATCAACGGACGCAAATAATTACTTTCACCTCCACCACCCCGGACGATGTGTCGCCCCGTCGTCCGCGCACACCCTCGTCAACGGCGTGTATCTATATCCGCTGTACATAGGCCGTTACGAAAAATAACTCTGGCCGCTAATCGAGCGCCGGCCGATCGTTCACCTTTTAGACAGACGAGATCGAATCAGAGGAAATAGCGACGCAAGCTCGAAGATTGTCAAATTTAAAAGCAAGACGCACATGTGTCGATGAATTTATTTTGAGAACAGGATAAGAAGAAACGGAGGCTTTGCTTTTCATCCTGCGATTCTTTTTTATAATTGTTTCTCCAAATTTCGGCGATTTGTTACAATTTTATGGGCGGAACGGTTATGTATCGTCCTCAATTAAATTCCGTCTAATTGCGATTAGGAGGTCTACGATTATCAGCGAGCGCGTCGATGATGTTTTTCTGCGCGACAAATAACACGACGGTGTAATTTATTTGGACTATCGCAGCATTAGCCGGAGTGCAGCAGCTGCTGCGAAAACAAAACTTTGTTTACGCGAAAGAGACACCTGCCACCTGCGACGCCTCCTTGGAACACAGTCTTCCATGACGGAGATACGACACTCTTCCAAGAAAAAACGCATCGATGCGCGAAAACGGACCACCGGCCGGCTGCCCTCTGCGAGATTCGCGTCAACCAGCGAGTCTCGCTACCTCCGGCAATCAGAGCAGAGATACTCTCGCGAGGGAGGAAATTGCGAGCCCGCGGGCATGAATGCAACAAGTTCTAAAATATGCAGACGGCATCGCGCGCTGTGTCCACACCGGAGAACGCATCCCGCTTTCAATGCGCGCTGCAAGCTACAAAGAGACCTCGGCCTCGAGTCCTTTGAAAGCGCAATATTCATTCGTCGCCGTTTCATCCGAGTGTCCCAGAAAAGCTGCACGGCGCGGTGACGTTTTCCATCAAATTCCGGGACGAGATCTCTTAAATATTCAGGCAATTTTTTTTTTTACAAAAATTTTTTAAATATAAACTGTAGAACTTTGTTTTTCAGACGAGAATGCCCGGTGCACGCGAGATGTAAATTGTTTTACACGACCCTGACGGATATGCAAATGAAATTCTTTTCAAATGAGAATGCGAGATGCAAATTGTTGGACGTAAAAATGCCGAACGGCAAAAATGTGATTCTTCTTTGAAATTGAGAGTCGATGCGCGAGATATAAATTATTTAATACGAAAATAGCAGCGAGAGATGCTGCAGTGATTAAAACGTGAGATAGTAGACGTGCGAAACGGCAGACGGCGGCGGCATACGGAAGTCTCTCGAAATAGATGTATCTTCCATCGACGTCGAGAAATGTTCGTACAAATGTAATAATATAATAATAACAGAGTAGAATAGAGTGACGCGCGTTCCCAAGGCGAACCTCGGCCAACCTTGGACTCCTCGTCGAGAAAATTCTAGTATTCATTTCGCGCTTCTGACAGTAATAACCGCGCACAAAAGACCGCGAGCTGTTGATGCAACGCCATGACGGAACTGCGGGGAACGCACTGCATATCTCCCTCATCATTGTCGGCGAGTTTGTCGCGAAGTTGTTCAGTCTTTGACGACGGCGTGCGCACATTGAGAGAACTCGGAGGTGATACCTCTGCTATTATTTATTCCGAAATGTGTCGCGCTCTTCATTTTCACTTATCGAATATTATTTTCGACGGTCTGTATTTTTAGCGCGCGGAAATTCCGGATATTACTCAGTGTGTCGAAAGTGAAGATATTCGACCGCCCGGGGCGGGGTGTCGCTTCTTCGGTTTCATTCACCCTCGCGGAATAGCAGCCGCCGGAGGACGACGCGACGCGTCAGGCGCCTGAACTTAAGACGCGGGCGCCGCACTTAAGCCAGCCGTTATCCATATTGTGGTGCATTAATAGCCGGGCAACGAGCTATCGTCGTCCCGTCGGTGAGGGTCGCCCTAGAGAAAGAGAGAGAGAGTGAGAAGAGCTTAGGAGTCTGTTCAAGTGGAGAATTATTTTCTTTCGGACGGACCTTGGCTGCATCGGTGCGACTATGCCGCGCCGTCCAGACGCGGCCTGCCAGTCGCACCGATGCAGAATGCACCACCAATATCGCTGATTGTTCAGGCTTTTGCGTGTCTCTTGATCAATTTTTCCTCAGAAGAAGAGATGATTATGCAAAATTGGAACATACAATTTTAGAAGAATCAATAAATTCTAGACGCCAAGCAGTTGGGTAATTAAATTTTCAAGTAAATTCTTATAAAATTAAGCTGGAAATAGGACTTTTTTGCGGATCCCATCTCGATCGCTAATAATTTAGAACCTATTGACATTTTATGTATTTCGCGCGGAGGAAAAGCGGACTACGAATTGATCAATGGACGCGCCTGGCAAAATTCGTCCGGGCACCTCGAACGCCGTGTATTCGCGTCTAATTTATATTACAAACGCTGGCGAACAAACGCTGTCGCGCTTTGACGAAATCTTGGCGTAACGTGCGCGCCACGAGGGCGCTTAGCTATTTTGGCGACGAAAAATTCTCGCGGACGAGACAACGAATGGAGTGCCGCTGGCATAACGCACGGTCGTTTGTACTTGGGTCCAGTAACGATTACGTCTCATTAATCGCTCGAGAGTAAGAACGACGAGGCGGTTTCTCGGAGTTAATAAGCATCTCGCGCTAAGATGGTGAGATATTCGGAATCGCTGCCGAGCCTCATTGATTCGGAACAATGTGACAACCTGAAGAATTTCGCCGAAGAATTTAGGAAATTAGCGGCGAGGAGTCTCTGAGAGTGTGCAGGGAGGCCATGAAGACGGTGCAGAGAAGAGAAACCCACCGACGACGGGTCGACATACACTGGCGTCTCGACGCCCGAAATAAACTCACCGCATTCTGCTCCTCTCTGTCTCTCCTCCTCATCGCCGTCCCTTCGCTTTCGTCTTCTTCGTTTTCTAGTGTAAGGCTCGGATGGCTATAGCTACTCTTCGTCGCTGTCATCCTCGTTTACGAGAGAGTAGGAGCATCCGCGGTTCCGCCTGGGAGACAGGAAGCGACTAAAAAAAAAGGGAAATAGTATGAAGAAAAAAGGAGAAAGAATCGCGCCGTAATAACCGTCGGCGTTGCGAGACACGCCGGAACGAAATTAAAACGGAATGTTCGCCGTCTGTGAAATTTAGACGAATTTTATTCCCGCGACGAATAATCCTCGGCAGCGTGTGTCTCTCGAAACGTTAGACGCGAAATAATAATACGTAATGAAAGCGGAAGTTTGTGGAATATTTGAAATCTCCCGCACAACGTCAGATAAAAGGTGATTTAGGCGATGACGGACTCAGCACTTCCGAATAATGATTCCGAAACAATTTAGTATCTTAAGAGTAAAAAATTATTTTAATCTTGCGAATATCAGAATTTATCATTCGTTTTTTTTGCAGACAAACGCGGGCAAAATGGTCGTCGGAGAAGCGAGTATACACAATATAATGGGGGGGATGGAGAGCACGGGTGGTGTGCGCCTTCACAATCACAAGCGGAAACTGAAACAAAGGTACCATTAACTGATAAGTCGAGGAATTTGTTTTTCTGTTTATGAAGACGCATAGTCAGTGAAAAAGATTCCAGTAATTGTTATAAATAAGAATAATTTTTTTTGTTTAATTGATAAGCTAAAGTCAACCGTCGATTCAGTGTAATTTGCGATCGCAAATTTGCATTTAACGCCGAATTAAGTCGCTGAATCTCTCGTCGAAATATCTTGCAGATTTGACATCATAAAAAAATTAGGACAAGGCACTTACGGGAAGGTGCAGCTAGGAATAAACAAGGAAACCGGTCAGGAGGTGGCGATAAAGACAATTAAGAAGTGCAAGATAGAAACGGAGGCCGATCTGATCAGAATACGAAGAGAAATACAGATTATGTCGAGTGTTCAGCATCCGAACATCATTCACATTTACGAGGGTAAGGTTGGCCATGCGATAACGCGTCACGATTTGCATAGCATAAGCGCAAATGGGATCGGTCGTCATTTATGAACCAGCCATTGTAGTCGATTAAACTCTCCTTTGTCTACGTGATAGCTGATGAGCTGACTTAATGGGAGAAATCTAAACGAGAATAGGCTATAATTGAGATTGATTGATGCCGGTGAAATTGGCGCTTATGCTTTTCGTCTCTTCGGTTTGGTTTTAACGCGATTGTTAAGGAAACGAATCGTTATCCTCGCAGTATTCGAAAACCGGGAGAAGATGGTGCTAGTGATGGAGTACGCGGCCGGGGGCGAGTTGTACGATTACCTGAGCGAGCGCAAAGTTCTGAGCGAGCAGGAGGCGCGGAGGATATTCCGACAGATTGCCACCGCCGTTTTCTATTGCCACAAGCACAAGATCTGCCACAGGGACCTGAAGCTCGAGAACATTCTGCTCGACCAAGTCGGCAACGCCAAAATAGCCGACTTCGGTCTCTCGAACGTGTTCGACGAGCAGAGATTGTTGAACACGTTCTGCGGCAGCCCGCTGTACGCGAGTCCGGAGATAGTGAAGGGGACGCCTTATCACGGCCCGGAAGTCGACTGCTGGAGTCTCGGCGTTCTCCTCTACACGCTGGTTTACGGTGCTATGCCCTTCGATGGGTCTAACTTTAAACGACTAGTCAAACAGATCTCACAGTCAGATTACTTTGAGCCCAAAAAGCCATCTCGTGAGTACAACACTCGTGTATTCGCATCGGTATTTTACAAAAGAAAGTATTGATTAAAAATAAATTCAAATTGTAAAGAATTTGTTTCAATTTTTAATAATTGTGATCTTAAAATAAATTTAAAAAAAATGGATATTAATAGTTAGATTGTTTTGCTTTAATAATAAAACTCTATAATTTTATTATATTAATTATTAAGATTGTTTAAATTTATATAATTTTGTCTTCTGCTTTAGCCGCATCGCCGCTTATAAAGGAGATGCTGACGGTGTGTCCCGGCCGACGCGCCGACATCGAGAGAATCTGCACTCACTGGTGGGTAAACGAGGGCTACGAGCAGAATTGTCTCGATATCGCCGAGGAACTGGCGGCTCAGACGCCCGTCCGATTGGATTTGTTGCTGTCGCTGGTGCCACAGTCGGCCAGCGCTGAGAAACTGCTGGTGGGCGATCAACAGGCGAGCGGAGATGTCGCGAACAGCATGTCTTCCGAAACGTTAGTGCCAACCAGGTGCCACTCGGTCGGCAGCTTGATGGAGCTCGATCAGAACAGCTCCGACAGAAGGATAAGAGAATTGTTCGACGAGGAATCGAGGTCTTCCGCGGTCGGAGACGCTAAGAGGAAGCTGGAGACAACGCCGTCGATGGACGAAACCACGGCGGCGGGCGTGAAGAGGAAAGAGAGATCCAGGAGGAAAGAGAAGTCGGATGAGCGAGAGCCCAGAACGTACAGGTCTTCGTCGAGGTAAATTATAAACTATTTCTTTCTAAATAATTTTCGAAACTTTTTGGAAGATTTAATTCTGGTCGGTGTGGACAAATATTACCTCGAGAAATATATTGTTTCAGGCATCATTCGGCTCCGATTCCAAACCCCATATCGGAAGAGGCGATGGAAGTGGAGCCTGCAGCTGTGGCAACTGTTCCTACGAGTAAGACTGCCGAGATTGACAAAGCGGAAGGCGCAGCGGCGTGTTTGGAGCTGATCGAAGAGTCGAAAGAGAGATCGCAGAGCAAGGAGAGGAGCAAGACTCCGCTGGCGAGCGAATGCGAGCGGTCGCACGAGCCGATGTCCGCTGAGAGCGTTCAGCAGAGCTGCGAGATTGATCGAACGGCGAGTAACAAGGAAGACAAGTGCGCCAAGTCACCTAGCAAGAACTTGTGCGAAGACGCAGGTGCTACTTTGGATAGCGCGAGTGAAGTGGCGAGCGAGACGGTGTTGGGCGGAAAGTCGGACGCCGTGGAATCAAAAGTGCCAAATGAGAACGACACGAGTGTTAGGAACGAAGCGTACTTATCGTCGCAAGATGCAGAACAGTCGGAGCCAACGGAAAGCGACTTCAAGAAGCTCAAAGAGAAAGCGCTCTCCTTTGATTCCGAGCTGTCGAATGAGGCGGCGAGTGCGCCCGCCAAGCCCGTCGAGAGACGGCGCTCGAAGATATTCGAGACCGCCGAGAAGTTCAATCAACTGACGTCGCCCGCGGAGAGCGAGAAGCCTAAGAAGATATTTATTCCCGGCGTGAACGTGGGAGGCGCGAAGCGGGCGTTCGAGCGGAAAGCTAGCCTCTCGTCCGTAACCTCGCCGCCGCCTGTGAAGACCAGCGCGTCCAAAGTCATCATCGATGTGCCAACGGATAGGAAGAGCGACAAGGACGAGCAGAGGCAGGCGGCGGGAGGCCAGGATGTCGCGGCCGCCGAAGATAAATTGGACAAGCGGGACGAGGCGAAGAAGCGCGCCGTCGACATCATCAGCGGCGCGATCGGCAAGCCGCCGATGCAAAGAAAACTGAACGGCTCGCCGCCGATATCGCCGCAGAGCTCGGACTCCAAGAAGCTCGGGCTGAAGATTCAGGTAGCGCCGAACGACGTACGGCCGGCCACAGTGTCGGTCTCCACGCCGGTCGACACGAGATACGCTTTTGACGCTAAATCGGCAGCACCGGAAGCGATTGTAAGTATAAAACTAGCGTCGATTACTCACACGTTCGATTTGCATCTAATTTTTTTTTGCAATAGATATCTAGTACGTCCGACACGGCTGGCACGGAAAATTCGCAATCGGAAGAACCTAAGATGTCGAGCAAGATGGAAATCACGTTGAAGAGCGCAACGCTGCCCAGACGAAAGACGAGCAAGGCCGAGATCACGCTGGCCGGAGTCAAGCCGTCGGAGACTGTGGCGTTCAAGTCTGAGGTGGAGGCCAAGATCGACGCTTTTCATCCACAGAAGCTTCGCACGCAGAGATCGGAGGTGGCATTCCCGGTCGCTGCGGCGGTGCCGCATACGAGTAGGAGCTCCAGCTTGGAACCGGAAGGCAGATCCAAGGTCGCACCGCCGAGGGAGAGAATTATACCCATTCAAGTAAAAATCGACATATTTATTCCGAAAGCACACATTTTTTCTCTTTTAATTTGTACGATAAAATTGATTTTTAACATCCGTAAAATATACAGGTGGAGGCAGGAGTTGAACCCAAGCAGCACTCGTCGACCCCGCCG